TGGAAGATCGCTCTATCATTCACATTGAATCGGCTGCTTGCTTCCTCCGCCCGCCGCATCCTATACCTTGCTAGAGGGGGGTGTCTCGTGCAGATGGGCAGTAGGGGACGTCCCAATTCACTCAGCCCTGGCAAATCAAAGCTGTGTCCTGATGACAGAAAGCAGAGCTGAGCTGAGAGATGGGACCACTGTGAAAGCCACTGCCTGACAGCCAGGACAGAAGAGCAGAGTTCTCCAGCCTCCATCAGAAGGGGCCACTCCCAAAGTGCCTCCTGCCCTCTGGTCAGTAAAGCCGTCACTTACAGAACGGCGACATCTGTGAGAAAGGGTCCGAAACCTCCACTACGAACGGCAGACGAGCCCCAGATGTCTTCAGCATGGGGTTGGCCGCATGATTCACAGCCAGGGCATCAGCTAAACGCAGTTTAACTCATTTGCCTGCTTAACCTAGAGCACTTTGAAATCCCCATACACTGATTCAAGGTGCCAGTGGAATTTTAACCCAGATGCTAAACATTGGTTAAGAAAGCAATTTTAAATAGATAAATGTAATTTCCTTCAGGGTTGCAGTAACTGTGAATGAACTGCTCATCCATCCTGACTACCAGCTCTTGCAACAAGGAGGATTAATTTGGCTCCATCTTGCTTAAAATACTGAGCTGAATCAGCAGATCCTGTCCTGGACGTAGAGGTGACCCTGCCCTGAACCTCTCTGCAGCCCCAAACTGCTGTTGCAGATTAAGGGCCAGAAGCAAAACAGAACAAAGAATGAGCTGACATAAACTGCTGGATTTGGAGGCCTGGTAGCCCCCTCCCAAGAGACACGTCCAAAGACATCTGGGCTAAAGGATTGTTCCTTCATGTACAAGAGGTCATACATTAAAACTCCCTTGTTTTCTCCAGAATTTGGTCACCACAGAGCTCCCCACCAGCCCCTGGACAGCAGAGCACACCTCCTCCCAGGCGAACAGCTCTCACTGCCACACTGCTGCCCACAGAGGACATGGGAGGAGAGTCAGGACTGCTGCAAAAAGTTCATGGGACTTTGTAAGGGACCTTTTGGACTTTTGTCTGTCTCAGCATTGCTGCTTCACAACCACCCTGTCCTGCCCTCAGCACCCTGTTGTTGCAAAGGAGTACGCCTTGAAGACGGAAAGTCCCCAAGACACCTCGACATCCACCCGCAGCTGGAACAGCAGCAGCCTTGGCAGTGCCCACTGAGCTACACCCACTCGGTATAGCTCGGTGGGCTGGGCGAGCAGGGCCAGACTGTAGCGGCGAGGAAGACGTGTAGAGGCTGGAAGCACCGCAGGTCGACCCCCAACATCGAGACCACCGTGACCACCGGGGCCTGCGCACATGGAGGACCACGGGGCTGCAAATATCTCCACGAGTCCCTGTGGAAACGGGAGGACTTTTTAGAGAAATTGCAGGGACGGGGACTATGCAAGGACTGTGTACTCCTCTCTCGGGATGCTGCTGATTGTTGCTGCTGCTGCTTTTTGGAGACCTCAATGGAGTCAGGAACGTGGAACATCATCAGCACCAAGAACAAGCCAACAGAACATTGCTGGATCCCTGGTGGCAGTGGTGGGAATTAGCTGCATCTCTACTGTTCTCTTGCTTAGGGATTCTGAATTTTCCCTTCTTTTCCTCTCTGTCCTATTGCTCTTATCAGTTGTTATAGAAAAACAAAGTTAATAAGGTTGTACGGCATCTCACCTCGTTTGTGTCTTAATGTTGCTCTTGGGATCGTTTAAGAATCCTCCCCAATATCGGATCAGGACAGACTCCTCAAAGGGGAAAAAAAGAAAGAGAAAATAACCAAGATCTTTTTAGCAGGCTGTATGTTACAAGAGCCATCAAAACATAAGTGTGGGTGATGAACAGCTGGGGAGAACAGTCAGGATTCGACAAAACGGATCAGGCAGCATGAAATCAGGATGAGAATGAACATTCACCAAAAAAATCACTTAGTATTTTGCTCTGCCCGAGAAGTACCTCTGTGTCACAGGGTAAATATCCCATTCCGCTGCCCAGAGCCAGACCAAGCCCACTCCTTTCCCAAAGGCGACTGCCACAGCCCGTGGCAGGGTGAGGATGGACACCATCTCTTCTCCAGCTGATGAACCTGGGGAAGAGGAGCTCCCTCGGATCCAACACACTGACTTTGGCAGGTGTTCGAGTGGGCTGTGCTGCTCACAGTTATGGCAGCAGGATGGGCTCATAGGCTTGTCAGAGCCACAGCAGAAGCTAAACCCAAACCTGATCTTCCTCATCTGCTCTGGTTTCATAGAGGTAATGTGAGTTTGCAAAATAACTCCACACAACTCAGCTTTTGTGCCAGTGATCCCATCTTCAGTAGGGTTTTCCCTCTTTCCTTAAGGAAAAAGGAAAGGGCAGGGGGGAGACGGAGCAACTTGTTTCCCATCCACAGAGAGCATTTGCTCAGACCTCCAGCACTGGGAGGCGAATTATCTCTTGGTGCAAGGGCACAGAGTTCAGCACAGTTCTGCCAGCAAAGAGCTTGGCCCAGATCTCCCTTCTTGATCCCTGCTTTCTAACAAGCATCCCATTGCTGAGCTGACATTCAGGAAAGGGGCACCTACACAGCTGAGGAGACCCAGGCTCCCACTGCCTCCTCCTGCCTTCCACAGCAGGCCTAACGCCCACGGGAAAAAAAAGATCTGGGAGTCATGAGACATAACATCTCCTTTATTCCTTACAGCTGACCCTGTTCTTTCCCCCATGTCATTATGCTCAAAATACAAGGCAATTAGTGTCCCTTCTGCAGGTACATTCTCCACAAGGTTTTGAAGGGAAGCTCGGCAGCAGAGCTCCATGGAAATGGAGGCAGCTCTGAGATCTGCATCCCCAAGCTCAGTGGGAAGCGGGCAAGCCAAGTTGTGACAAAAAGTCCATCTTCCCCAAGAAGCCACCTAGGACACAATTCCCGTGCCCTCTGCCCTGTGCTCTAGCAATTCCCTTTGTCACATCTGAGGTCTGCGGTGTCTGACGGTGCAGCTGGACAAATGGCTCCCTCTTGTTACTTTACAGCACTCCTGCTGTCGCAATATTGCCTCCAAAATTCCCTGTTTCCCAACTGGAGCAAGGCTGCCCCAGCAGTCAGACATCAGAGAACAGGTTTACCTGATGCTTTACAGCCTGCTCCGGCACAGATCAAGCCCTGCACACTCTGTGGTGCTGCTGGAAGCTGGTGGCTACGGTTCAGGCAGCTGTGCATTTAGACAGGCACAGCCTCGTCCCGCTGGGCTCTGCTGTGACAGCCCAGAGCCAGACGTCTGTTCCACACTCACACGGGGGATGTAGTCCCCAACTAGTACCCCCAGCACACAGCACTAGCAGACAATTCTTAAAGAATTCCCATTTCTTCTTAGCAAGGAGGGGTGTGTTTTCATACAACTGCTTTCCTACCAGCTCACTACAGCACATCAGTGGTCTGCACTTAACTCGCTTCCCAGTACTTGCTGACAGACCACGCTGGGAGCAGATTTCCTGGGCCAGAAAAATCAGAGCCAGGTAAGATTCATTTGCTTTCATGTCCTGCCTCAAGAACTCCTTGTGCCAAGACTGCAATCACAGGGTGCATCACCCATTTGTACTTTCTTATAATTGTTATTTTATTACAATTGCTAGACCATCTACAGCAATCTCCATGTCACAACTCCAGCCGAGACACCGAGCGGAGCTTGTAAAGAAAAGTAGCTTTTCCCCTGTTGTGAACCTTCCCCGGGGAGACTGAGCCGGCTGCGGGGCCAGCGAGGCCCGAAGCACACGGCCATGGCGCTGGGCAGCCGGCCAAGGCCAGCCCGCAAGGAGGGAGGGCTGGGCAAGGGGCTGCCAGGCCCTGGGGGAAGAAACCCTCTGGGCCCAGCTCCTAACGCTGCCCCTGGAGAAAGGGAGAGGAGGAGGAAGCTGAGAAATGAGCGTGGAATCTCCCAGGGCAGAGGTTAACGGTCAACTTTATTGTGTCGGTGGAAGGAAATCACTGCCATCACGTGGGGATGGCGCACGGCTGGTCCTGTGTCTGCGTCCGGGCCGGATGTACGGGGTTTGGGCCTGATGTTCCAGGCGGGAGCGGTGCCTCATCCGCATGGGCCCACGGCGGCTGGAGCTGCTGCTGCCCTCGAGCGCTGGGGAGTCATGGGACGGCCCCGATGCCGCCTGGTTACTGGTGCTGGGGCTGCTGCTCTCCGGCACTGGGGAGCCCTGGGACGTCCCCAGCGCTGCCTGGCTGGGGGTGCTGCTCTCAACACTTGGTGATGGTATGCGGCTCCTCCCCCAGCCTCTTCTGGGCCTGCTGTCGGGCGTCTGGGTGCGATGTTCAGCACGGGAGCGTTGTCTTGTGTGCTCGGGCCCAGGTGAGCTGGAGCTGCTGCTGCTGCCCTGAGGCACTTGGAAGTCGTTGGACGGCCCCAATGCCGCCTGGTTACCAGTGCCGGGGCTGCTGCTCTCTGGTGCTGTCAAGGTGTGGAATGACCCCAATCCTGACTCACTAGCAGTGCCAGAGCCAGCGAGCTCTGAGCTGTCACTGGAGGCTGTAAGGGGAAGCAGGATGGTCAGGGGCACAGAGGCCACTGTGGAGAGGCCAGAGCGGTGCCCCCAGCCCTCATGGGGCAGAAAGGCTCTGCCAAGCCCAGCCTGGGCACCTGCTGCCAGGCCTTGCCTGGGCCCTGGCCTCAGCCCAGTGGCATGAAGGTGCTTTGCCTCTTACCGGTGCCCTGGATAGCACAGCCCTCACACTCCCAGATGAACCTGCTGTTCCTCAAGTTGGCGCAGCGCCGGTGGGTGCCCTCAGCAGCACAGGAGATGCATAGGAGCAGTTGCCAGGGCCTGGGGAATAAAAGGGTTCATGGCTGTGAGGACAGAGTGACCGCAGCACGGGATTGTGCAGCACAGCTCCTGTTCTCTGTCCTTCTTCTTCAAGCTGTTGGCGACACAGAGATCCCATGCAGAGCCCAGGGTGCCTCTTTGGCAACTTACCCCTGTTCCTCTGCATACTCCCTGCCTCCAGGACAAAGACACTCATGGGCATCGCAGTGGCTGTGCCCCTCGATTAGTATTTCATCTTGAGGCTCATTCTCCCATGATGACAATCTGATGGAGAAAGGGAAAAGGCTGAGCCCCTGCTGCCCCGGCATGAGGCCGATGCAGGGCAGCCCTGCTCCTGCCCCCTTCCTGGTTTACAGCTCCTCTGTGAAGCTGAAGCCCAGGCAGACGGGAGAGCGGAGGGGCAGGACTGCAGGGGCAGCCCCGGGCATGGCACAGGGCTTGCAGCCTCCTGTGCTGTGAGCCAGCAGGACACCAACCTCATGGGGACTCGAATGCCCATGATAAGCATGTCCTTGATAAAGTTGTGCTCGTTTCTGCAGTGGGGGCAGCTGAAGGACATACCAGCAGAGAGAGCGTGGCCCTGCAGCGAAAACAAAAGGAGCAGGAGTGAGACCCTGGTGCTGCCCAGCGCCTGCCAAGTCCTGGGGGTGAGGGAACGGCTCCTACCTGGATGCAGACCCGGTGGTACCAGGCGTGTTTGCAGACGGGGCACACCAAAGTGTGGAAGGACTTTCTGTCCTCCACAGGCTCCAGGCAGATGAGGCACTTGGTGTTCTCCTCTGGAGCTGCCTCCACCTCCTGCTCTGGGCGGTGCTCCCTGCAGAAGGAGCTGGGGGGAAGAGGGAAGGGATGGGTGAGGTGAGAAGCACTGGGTCCTTCCCCGGTGGGGGTGAGGAGGGGACAGGAGGTACCTGTGTGGAGGAAGGTACTGGGTGATACATTCACCCTCCATGGCACAGGGCAGGTGGAAGCTGAGGTCACAGTCCTCCTGGCAGCAGGTGATGGTGGCCCTGCTCTCCCCGCAGATGAAGCATCGCTGGAAAGAGAAGAGCAGCCCCCGTCAGCGGCAGCCTCAGGGCCTCCCCAGCCAGCCCCACTCTTCTGGGCAGGGCGCAGGATGTGGCCGCTGCTGGGCCACAGCCCACAGATCCGCCCGGCGCACCAGGCTCCTGGGCTGGAGCCTCTGTGGAGATGCTGGGAGCAAGGCTTTTGTCCCAGAGCTGCTTGGAGGGGCTGGGATTTCTTTCCTGGGCTCTGGGATAAGCTCCCCCAAACCTCTTCTGACACAAATCTTCCTGATATGGTCAGGTCCTCACCTTCTGCGCTGCCAACTCGACTGTGTGAAGAATGTCCTCAGGAAGAATTCCCAGCAGCCCTGATTCCTCATCCTGCCAGTACAAAAGCTCACCGGCAAAAAACTGCACAAGAGAGGAGGAGCTGATGAGGAGAGAGTGGCCGGGGGTGCCTGTCGGGGAGCTGGAGGGAGCCCCGGGGCACTCACCATGCAAAAACGATGGGCACAGAGCCCTTCTGTCTCGATTTTCGGCCCCCAGAGATCCAGATCAGCTGCTGCCCGGCCGCACAGCACGCACGCTGGAGGGAGAGAGCAAATGCCGGCGGGAATGAGCACCTCTGCGGGCCGGGGGAAGCATCCCTGAGGGATCGTCCCCAGGGCCCTGCTCCGTCCCTGAGGGGTGAGGGGCAGGGCTGGCGGCTGTGGCAAGGAAGGGGCATCGCAGGCAGTGACTCCCCCTGCCACAGCGCTCGGCCCCACACTGACTGCCCCGACAGCCCCTTTGCTGTGCTGCGGAAGGGAAACTTTGCTCTCACCCTGCTCCATCAAGTCGGGGGCCTCCTCTCGCCTCTCAGCCATGGCTCACGTCCTTAGTGAGTGTTGGGAGCGTCCCTGTCCCAGCAGCACCAGGTTGTCTCTCCCAGATGCTCCTTGGCTGACTCTGAGGGAGAAGTGGGGCGCAGGTCAGCTCTCAGCACAGCCCCAGTGCCACGAGGTGTGGGACCCCCCCTCCTCCCTCGGCAAGGAGCCCCTGCCCTGCCCTGCCCTCTCCTCACCTCCCAGGTCACACTGACCATGGCCGGAGCCCAGCAACCCTTGTTAGAGGCTTGTTGCCAGGGGTGACAGCAGCCCTTGTGACATCACACCCCCCTAGATGGGCAGGGACACCCTGGGCAGGTTACCATGGCCACGGTGACATCGCCACCCACACAGATGGGCAGGGACGCCCTCAGCCTCCTGCCACCCCCTCTGAGGTTGGTGCCACCCACGACACGGGGGGAAGCCCCGGGGGAGTCCTGGGGGAAAGGTCCTTTTCAGTGGCAATAAACTGCCTTTTGGGGTCAGCGTGAGCCTGGCCTGGGGGGAGGGGAAAGCCCCTGAATGAACACTTGCGCCGGACCCAGCTGGAGACTTGTCTCCCATGTCACCCTCAAGGGTCCCGGGGTCCCCATCACGGTGGCAGCAATGGTGCCCGAGTCCCCCACACTCTATGACCCCCCATGCCCCCCCATGTCCCACCATGGTCCCCACACTGTCCCCACACCCTACATGGTCCAATGTCCCCTGCCCTAGGCTGTCCCCTTGTCCCCCACTGTCCCATGTCCCCCCATGGTCCACACACCCCTGATAGCACCTGTGCCCCCCCGTGTTCCCATGCCCCACACTGTCCCCATGCTCCACGCTGTCCCCCTGCCCCACAGGTGATGACCTTCAGCCCCAGCCCAGTGCCCACAGGCCACCTTCCCTGGCATCAGCACTGTCCCCAGTGTCCAGCCTGTGGTCAAACTGGTGACAGCGGCACCCATGGTCCCCAGTGCCACTGGCACCAGCAGCATCCAGATGTACAACATGGTGTCCCTGTCCCCCACCAGTGACACCAAAGGGGACACTGGGACACCCACGGGTGCCACCACCCCAGCACCCAAACTGTGCCCTCTGCCACTGCCTCCAGTGCTGTCCCCCCTAAATCAGAGCCTGGGGACAGTCCACAGCTGCCCCCTCCTCCTTTGGGAAAGCCAACAGGATCCCCCGGCAGCAGCACAGTTTGCCCAGTGACCCCACTGAGACCCTGCTGCTGGGGACAGGGGGTGGCCTGGTGGTCCTCTGCTCTCCCCATGTCATCTCTGCAATGTCCCCAAGTGCCCCGGGACCTCTCTATGGGGCTGGGGAGTGTCCAGGGGGGGCCCTCAGTGTCCCAGGTGTCCCAGTGTTCTGGTGTCACTGATTTGCCACCAATCAGAATTAATAATGTTTGATTCCACTATGAATACAGAATTATGAGAGATATTTTAGTAGGGTTACATGTTTACATTTATTTTGCATTTTGCACATCTAACCAGAAACCAATGCTACTCTGAATTCCTCTGTATAGCCCTGTACCCAGGCCAAAGAACTGGTCAGTAATCATTTACTAGGTACACCTGGATAGTGATTAGGGAATTAGATTTAGAATTGAAACTAATTGTTTGAAGTTGTTAGAGAGATGTCCAGACACAGAAGTAATTTGTTCCCTAGAACACATTGGATAGTGTCTTAGATGTACCACAACCTGAAATTAATGAGACCTGGGGAGAATGAGCTGTAACAGCTTACAGAGCTCTGCCACGGAACAGTGAAACCAGGGAATAGGTAACTCCAGCAGGGGAGATGGCGACCACCGACTCACAGGCCACCAACCCAAATTACACCCCAGGCTCATTTCTAGAGATTTCTAAGCTTTAGTGCGCAGAATCGGAAGAAGGAGGGCAGTATGATAATGATTTCCAGGAATTCTTGTGTTTATGTATGACCACCTAATGAATATGTATGATTGAATAATATATGAACTGTATGATTCTTGTGACTGGTGTGCATTGTCAGTGAGAGCACTCACCCATGCACCCGGCCGTCAATAAAGACGTGTCTGCTTATCTGCATCCAATTGGGGTTGATGAGTTCCTATTCCAGATTTTCGGTAACACTGGGAGGCCTCTATATGGACAGGAGGTGGCCGGGGTGGTGCCCCAGCGTCCCCATGGTCCCCCCTGCAGTGTCCCCATGCGATTTAGGGGTCCCCATGTGTTCCTGGGACCTTTCTATATGGATGAGTGGGGTGCCTGGTTGTCGCCCCCAGTTTCCCCTCCTGTGTCCCCCTGTAGCCCTGGACCCCTCTATGGGGAAAAGAGATAGTGGTCTGGCGATCCCCAAAGTTTCACTGAGCATTCCCCAGTGTTCCCATGTGTGTCCCCCAGTTTCTTCCAGTGCCCCAAAGTGTCCTGGGACCCCTCTACAAGGACAGGGGTTGGCCTGGGGGAGTCTCTCCATGTACCTGGGGTCACCCAGTGTCCCCATGTGTTCCCCACACTGTCCCCCAGTGTCCTGGCACCCTTCGATGGGGACATAGAGGATGGTCTGGGGGTTCCCAGAGTGTCCCTGGATGTCCCCATTTTCCGCATGTCCCCCCTCAATGTGTCCCAGTGTTCTCCAGTGTGCTGGGACCCCTCTGGACAGGGGTGGGGTGGGGGGGAGAGGGGGTGACCTGGGTGCCCCCTCGATGTCCCCAGGGGTCCCAGGATCCACTTCACAGGCTGCCCACCCCCGGGGATCACCTCTATCTGCACCTGCCTGCTATTAATAACCCAAGGAACTCCCAGTGCCCCCAGTTCATCCCAGTGCCGCACAGTGCAGCCCTGTCCCTCCATGTCCCGGAGCTCTTGCACACGCACCAGAGCTTGCACAAATCCCAAGTATCGCACCAGAACTTTCACCAGCCCCAAACGTGGCACATGCTTTTAGCACAAGCACAGGCCTTTGCACAAGCTCCAAACTTTGCACATGTGTTTGCACAAGTCCCAGACATTACAAGCAGGGTAGCCCTAAGCGGGAGGTCTCCTTCCCCTTCCTCCTGGGTGCCGGGGTCCGTCAGGGCAGCGCTGCGCTTGCAGCAACCTCCCCTGGCTGGAGATGGAGATCCAGCGTTCACCCAGGTGATGACAAAATATTCTGATCGGCCATTCTACGTGTACGAATCACCACTTTAATTCTCATTTGGAGGATGAAGAGCCGTCTTCCAGATTTTCACACATCTCTGAACTTCAGAGATCCTTGCCTGCTGGTACTCTGCTCGTCACTAAGACAATTTTTGTTTCAGCCTTCTGTGCTCTTTCCCTGAGGAAAAGAAGGGAGTCGCGTGTGGTGGGTGGATCTCAGCCAGACTCCTGGCAGCCAGATAAAGCCCGACCCAGGGATGGAACAGCTGATTTCAGTGGTGGCCTTTGAAGCAAGGACAGAGGTGGTCAGGGCCATGGGAAAGGAGGCAGGGAGGAGGGATTGTGGAGAACACCAGAAGAATCACAGAATGACAGATCCATTCAGGTTGGAAAAGCCCCTCGGGATCATTGCATCCAACCCTCAGCCCAACTCTACAAAGTTCTCCCCTACCCCACATCCCCCCACAGCTCATCCCAACGGCCCTTAAACACCCCCATGGATGGGGACTCCCCCCCTCCCTGGTCAGCCTATTCCACTCTCTGACCACTCCTTCTGGGAAACATTTTTTCCTCATGTCGAGTCTGACCCTCCCCTGTTGCAGTTTCAAGCCTTTCCCTCTTGTTCTGTCACCAATTCCCTGTGAGCAGACCCAGTCCCAGCCTCTCTGCAATGTCCTGTCAGGAGCTGCAGAGAGTGACGAAGTCTCCCCTCAGCCTCCTCCTCCTCACACTGAACACTCCCAGCTCCTTACATGGCTCCTCACAGGATTTATTCTCCAGGCCTTTCCCCAGCCTCGTTGCCCTCCTCTGCCCTTGCTCCAGCCCCTCGAGATCTCTCTGGTATTGAGGTGCCCAAAACTGGAAACAACACTCCAGGTGTGGCCTCACCTGAGCCTGTAGCCATGCAGGGGGTGGTTGTGGCCCAAGGGCAGGACCTGGCACTTGCCCTGGTTGAAGCTCATCCCATTACCATTGGCCACTGATCCAATCTATCCCGGTCACTCTTCAAAGCCTCCCTGTCCTCATGCAGATCGACCCTCCTGCTTCACTTGGTGCCATCTGCGAAATCACTGATGATCCACTCTGTGTCCTTGTTGAGATCGACAATAAAGATGTTGAACAGAAATGGTCCGAACACCGAGCCTGGAGGTCACCAGTTGTGACCGGACGCCAGCTGGATTTAGTTCCACAGACCACCCCTCCCTGGGACCGGCTATCCAGCCAGGGCTTGACCCAGCAGACCGTTCCCTCACCCAGGCCATGGACAGCCAGTATCTCTATGAGAATTCTATGGGGGAGTGTGTCGAATGGTTATTGAAAATCCAGGTAGAAAATATCCACAGCCTTTTCCTCATCCAATAGTCAGGTCATCTTGTCGTAGAAGGAGATGAGGTTTGTCAGGCGTGACCTGCCTTTCATAACCCCATGCTGACTGGGCCTGATCCCCTGGCTGTCCATTATATGACTTTTAATGGCACCTGAGATGACCTGCTCCATGACCTTCCCTGGTACCGAGGTCACACTGACAGGTCTGTAGTTCCCTGGATCCTCCTTTCTGCCTCTCTTGTAGATGGGTGTCACATTTGCCACCTTCCAATCCAATGGGACCTCTCCAGTCAGCCATGACTCCAAGTAAATCATGGACAGCGTCTTGGCGAGCACATCTGCCGACTCCCTCAGCACCCTTGGGTGTAACCCACCCGCTCCCACAGACGTGCGTGCATCCAAGCGGTGCAACAGGTCTCTGACCACCTCCTCTTCAACTGTGCTGACCTCAGTCAGCTTCCCCTCCCCATCTCCCATCTCCTGAGGCTGGGTGTCCAGGGAACAGCCAGTTCCACTGCTAAAGACTGAGGCAAAGTAGGCATTGAGCATTTCAGCCTTTTCCTC